GAATCAAGATGCTTCTGATTGATTTCTGATTAGTTAAATGAAGCAAAGACTAAATAAAAACCTTTATAGAGAATTAGAACATTGATCTTTGTAAGACATTTATTTTTTATATTTTTGATAAAGATCTTTACTATGCAGCAGAAAATGGAAAACATGTTTGACTTTGTCCAGTCCAGGATGTGATGAATTACCTCTGCTGCTTCTGATTGGCTGCTGCTGATTACTGAAGGTTTTCAGTTCACTGTATGTGATTTCATTTTCATGTTTCCCTTCATCTGAAACACAACAGAACAAACATCAAAGCTCATTAGAGAAACTTTCATTAAACCAGTCTGAAGTTTCTGAACAAGCAACAAATAAGTGCATCAAATTTTAAGTCTAAAATGATATTGAAATTCAAGACTCACCTTCAGGTTTCCTGCAGAAACATCGTCTCACCAGAAGAACCAGAAGAATTAATGAAAGTAAAACCAGAGAGATAAAAATGGCAGAAACGACTGTGGAGGTGGGAAAAGATGAACCAGGAGGAGGAGAGATGGAGGAAGGAGGAGTGGAGGTGATGGTCAGTGGAGTGGAGGATGAAGGAGGAGTGGAGGTGATTCTCCCTGAAATGAATCAAAGTAATAATTTATTTCTTGTCTCCTGATGAAGGTTGAAGCAAACAGAGAAGCTGCTGACCTTCCACAGAGATCCTGCTGGATGGAGACTCTCCCTGACCGCTGATGCTGCACTTATAGAGGCCTTCATCAGAGCTGGAGACATGGAGGAGGGTCATGTGACCTGATGGTCCATCACCAATGAAGGAGCCATCTTTATAGAAAGTAGCTGGGAGGTTTTGGGGTTGATTCTTTGCTCTGCAGCTCAGAGTGACGTCATCTCCCTCCTTCACAGGGAGGACAGGACTCTGCAGGATCACTGATCCACCTCAACACAGAGACAAACTACAGCATTTCATCCATTTCCACACAGCAACACTAACTCCACAGTCTGATCTTACCAGAGACAGAGAGCTGGATGCTGCTGCTGCTGCTGGAGGATCCAGACATGGACTCACACCAGTACAGGCCAGAGTCTAATGGGAGGAGGTAGATCAGGCTGCAGGAGGAACCAGCTGGTCTCCCCCATCCATCTCCACATCGCTTCCTGGTTCCTCTTGTTGTGTTTCTCCTCACAGTTCCTCCATCAGAGATGTTTTCATCCTCACAGATCAGAGTCACTGATTCTTCTTCAAAGAACTGAGATCTGCTGGGACTCACAGTCAGACGAACTGGGAGAAAAAAAAAAAAAATATATATATATATATATATACACACACACACACACATATGTGTGAGCGTGTGTGTAGCTTTCTGTTAATTATGCCAACCACACCCTGCTATAAGATTGAAAAACAAAATGGGAGTTCACCTCTTTTGGTAGTTAGCAGTGTGTTCAGCAAGTTTCAATCTAAATATTGCAGATTGTCCATAAGAGCTTATTTTCTGGTTCAACTTTGATTCTCTTTCTCTTAACATTTTCTCTAAGATTGTAGAAGTTGAATAGTTAAAGTAAATTTATTAATATTTAAAATGTCTAAGTGAAGTGTTCTGATCCAGTTGTAGATCCCAAAACATCTGGAGGTGGTTTAGCTAGAAAATCAAAATCCACCTGGTGCCTTGAAAATGTTATTTAAATCAACAAGAAAATAGTTTTGGTTTTAACTCAGAAATTAAAGTTCATGAAGTTGATTTAACAAGAAACAAAATGTTTAAACATTATTTTTAAGTTCATTCATGTTGAATTGTGAGTTTTAACTTAATGCTGCAATTTAAACCAAATAATTATTTCACAATATGCAATAAAAAAACTGTCCTCCCCACTTAAAGAGCAAAAACATTTCTTAGTTATTTTACTCATAATATCAAGTTAAAATAACGACTTATTTTACTTTAGAATCATTTAAATTCTCATTTCAAATTGCACAAACAAACTTTGTGATCTGATGATGAATTTGATTAAACATCATGATGAGTTCAGCTCAGAAATATTCAGAGTGATCAGCACTTTTTCCTCAAGCTTTACAAACTGTGGCATTAAAATGAACATTTGCCTGAATAACAGAGTCAGATCAATGTAACTCGTCCATCTCAGGATACAAAAACATGCTGCTAAGCATTCTGGGAAATAGTTCCCACTCCCGTCTTCTACTTCTCTAAGGTTTTTCAGTGAAAACATAAAAACTGTGTTTATTCAACTCTTGGAGGTTTGACTAAATTAATAAAAACTAAGCTAAATGCCATTTAAATGTTTTACAGTGAAGAAAAAAATCTAATAATATTATATACTCATTGTGAAGAATAATTTCACAAAGTTTTTATTTTCTTTATTTCCAGTCTAG